GAAGCTAGTCACAGGAGTGTCTTTCAAAGGTGATTTCAAGCAATTGGAATGAAGCTAAACCCAGAAGAAACAGCACTTTGTGGTGGGTTTGGCTTCACAAGTGTGCTGTGTCTTGCAGGTGAAGATGAACAATCTACTGAGATGGCTGCAAGGTGGGAAGATGAAAACGTGACTGAAGCTGCCTCAGATGGTTTTGTTGCTATTAAAATCGACACCAAAAGGTTTGATCCTATTCTAATTCTGTCGCTTATACAATCATTCATTGACGATGATGAGAGTAAGAGGCTTTTGAAGTCCTCACCCTGATTAGGAGATAGTCTAAATACAGGGTTCCAGAGCATAAGTGAATTCAGTACTCCTGAAGCCACTGGAGCCTGAGAAAATGTCAGAATTTGCTGTTGTGTTCTGGGACAGTCATTGTGTTTTTTGGACTGTGTTCCAATCGTAGTAAAGGAATGCTTGAAGTTGTCCCTCTTCAACATGAAGAGACACACAAGTTATATAAAAAGCTGGAAACAAAATGCAAGTACTAGAGGCAGATCTTGATTTGTCAAGTTACATAATGGATTGCAAACCTCTTGTGCATTCAGAAAGATAAAAGTCTCTAAGGCCCCAGAGAAAACGTGTTTGCCTCTATTGTAGAATAGAGAAGCACTGAAGTCCCTGAGTGAATTACTCAGCTATTTTGGTGTTCTGGTCCATATGCACAAAGTGCATTGACATTTCCAAAAATGGTATGATTTTGAAATGCTCTATAGGCATTTTATTAGCTTTACTGTACTATTTGTGCTCAATAGACTAGATTTCTTTTTCCTGAATTGCCTCTTAGCACTGCTCCCCTAGATCTTATGTAGTCAACTGTGATAACCAGAGATTGTCACCATGTCAACACTTATGCAGAATGTTAATGAGAAGATGCAATGCAAATTTGCTTTTAGTGTTCTCTCAAGTACTTAAATAGTTTTGTAGGACAGTTATTTTTATGATGAAAGACTTAATCTGAAGTTGTTGTGAAGTGATTGCTCCTCCTAAACGAATCTTTTCTTTCAAACAGTGAAGCATGCCTGCAGTTTTCTCAGATTTGTATCCTTTGAGATCGGTTTAGATGCTGCATTATGATTACAGATAATTGCTCTTTACAAGTTAATACTGTTCTTAGGACAAATACTTACAAGCAGTGTTATTGAAAATACTTATTATGGCACAAAACTGTGCAATAAACTGTGTAGTTAATAGATACCATCTGTGTATCCAACTTACTGTCAGTTCCTAGAGAAAAGGAACCAATTGGGGGTTTTAATGTTAATCCTATGTAACTCTCTAAATAGAAAATTATCTGAAGCTCTATGTAATCAAAAGAATCTATTGGTATTGCTAATCAGCATTAGAAAACAAACAAGCAATGCTTTAAATTAGCAGCTGGAGCTCAGAGGTGCAGAGGAGGAAGAACAAGCAGTGGCCTGAGCTCTGTCAGATACACCAGTATCAAGTCAGGTAAACATCTGCCTTAAGTAGGTCACAGCATAGAGTTCATGAATTCTGTATGATGCTGAGAAAGGGAATTCAGAACCTTAACTTGGATTTCCTTAATGCTGTAGAGAATTCCTTATTGTCTGCTTAAGATGTTGTCTCACACTGAAAATCCTTCTCGAGTCAAAGCATAATCCGTGCTGGAAAAGCTGGGGGAAAATAATTTGGCTTAACCCATTACAAAGAAAAAAAGAAATACTTACCAGTGGTATGAAATGTTTGCCACCATCTTTTTTTATTCTTCCTCCCCTGACACTGACTGCTGGTGTCCAGGTGGAGGGAGTGTTGGGCTAGAAGCTTCTGTAGGAAGGACTTTTGCTTTTCCCTGTGAAGTTGCTCTATAAACGTGTGTTGTTTGTTGCCCTTAACCGTTGCCGTGCAGATCCCGTAGTCTGCGTCCCATCCAGTTTTTTTATAGGAGACAATGGAATCCCTTTGGAAGTAATTGCTGGCAGTGTTTCTGTTGAAGAGCTTGTTTCCAGAATCCACAAAGTGAAGCAGGTAATGTTGTGACAGGCTGGGTCCCTCAGGTGGAGCTGGGTGTGCTCAGGACAGGTGATGGGTCTGCCCTTAGCTCCTGCCTTGGGCAGGTGAGTTACTGGTTCTGTGTCCTTACAACAACAACAGCATCTGCAGCCCTGAGAGTGCAGATGTTGATGGAACAGGTAGATTGCAAGAGTGCTGCATTACCTTTTTGTTTCACAGATTGGGTTAGATCATCTGTGTAACACTTACAGCATTGGAAGAAATGTGTGGAGAACTCCAGGCTGGAATGACATGCCAGTTACTCTTCAACTCACACATGGTTTTGTAATGTGGATTTATAAAGTTATGCTGTGGAACATACTGTAAATGTAGATAGTTTTATCACTTTGATTTCAACTGCAAGACTAAAATCAGGACAAATACAAAATGGATGATTGCACCATACTCAATATATGATAATTTTAGTTTTGTATTTTCAGTAGAGCTGGTCTCCAAAACCAGTTCAGTCTTGACCTTTGAACCTGTAAAAAATACTTGAAGTTTCCTAGCTTTGATTTATTTTTTTCCCAAATTTCTTAGATGCACACAGTGAAAGGACCTTTGGAAAACGGTGGTCAGTCACCTGCTCCCTGTTCCTCCTCTCAGTCTGATGGTGCTCCTGAAAACACACAGGCCAGAGCAGCAGAGTTCTGTGACTCTCCTGAGCCTGTTGTGCCTGAGACACTAAGATCTTCCACTGGTAATGGTTAGTGTTTTGACACAAGTGCTGCCACATTTGGTTTTGGTTTTTTTTTGATACATGTTGGTACATACAGAGCAATATATTGAGGAAAAGCTTGGGTATTCCAGAATGCTTCTTGCTAGTCTAGAGGGAAGAATAACTCGTCATTCTGCTTAGTTTTAGCGAGTGAGAAATCTGTGGTTCATAATATGATAAATTTGTGTCTGTTTTCCTGAAAAAGGATTCCATTCAAAAGTTTCTTTGGGTTAGTAACCTGAAACTAAATTGTCAGGGTGGGGAGTCTAAACAGCAGAACCTCCTGTCTCCTTGGGATGTCCTAGTTGCTGCAAATCATGGCTAGCAATGAGCATAATAATTTTTTTATGAGAAGAAATAGACCTTTTCCTTTTCTCTTCTGCATTACTTGCTTGTAAATCCCTTGAAGGTGGAGCAAATTCAGGGCAAGCAAGCCAGGAAGCAGCTAATTCTGCAGATGAGCAAGTGAATGATGCTCAGCCTGTGAACGATCTCTCACTCAAAGTAGAAAGGTAAGTCTTGTTTTGCAGACTTCCTCATGTATTGTATTTGTTTCCCAGGGGGCATTTTGTTGGGTTTTGGCTTGGATTTTTTTAACAAACAGGCTTAATTACAGGATTTTTAGTGCTTACTCTGTTATCACCTGGCAGACATTTGTGGGGTCTTGTTTTTGGTTAGAGGTCTGTGACAACACTAGGGTTGATAATGAAACAGCTCTAAATTAATTAACTTTTCCTGTACTTAGAAAGAAAGAAGTTGTCTGCAAAACTAGAAATGTTCACCTTTGATATCACTAATTGTATTGTAGCAATTATGTAGTATTGTATAGCAATATGTTTGCTGCAGTTTTTTGTATGAGTTAAAACATTGAACTGAAAGCACTTGAAACTGGTGTAATGAAGTGCTGGCCTAGGTTTTGTATGGAGATTTCTTCCTCTCCTTGTCTATTTGGCTGTTTGTAGTTTTACATACAGGGTTTTGTATATAAACTTGTTTTTAGTAAGGCTGATACTATTTGGAATATCCTGTCTGATACCAGGCACACCTATTTAGCAATAGGATTATTTATAGTGCTAAAACACATCTTAAAACTTGTTTTTTCTTAATTTCAGTTTTCTTCCAAAGTTGTTGGACAATAGGGATCATTTTTACTTGCCACTGATAAGACAGTGTAGTCAATATTTTGATTAAGTGTCAGTGTTCCTGTCTTAGAAGTGCTTTAATCTTGTCTATTAAGTCTGGCATAATTTATCTACAGCCCTTCTTTTCCAGGGGTACAAGAGGCTGAGCTCTGTGGTAGTTCCCACTTGCTTTTTAAGAAAACAGCCACCATACAAACAACATTTTGCTGATGATCTGACCCCTCATGTTTGGTCATACCTGCCCTTTGCCCAGACCTAAAATAGGTTGGGTTTTATTGTCAGTCCTTATTTTCAATACTTTGTCAATTCTCATTGACAGAATTCCTGTGTTTTTGAAGTCAGTCCATTTTTCTGGATAGCTGAGACAGATGCATGTGCATCTCTGCCAGTGCCATATATTCCTTGCTGTCCCTTTTAGGAAGTGATGTGTAGAAGAAACCAGATGGCTCTGATAGCTAAGGAGAGGTTGAGCTTGAGTGTTTCTGTTACCACAGGTCATAAATAGTATTTGCGTGTTGTGTGTCTTACAAGTTGGTTCAACAGTCAGAATATTCTTCGCTTACTGAGTGGAAAAGGACAAAAGGAATATGTTAGAATTCCACTCAAAGCTGGAAATGAGGTGGTGAATCACCAGCTCATCCTTGTGTGGCTGGTGCAGCCTCGTGTGGATGAATCATTGCTGGTACACATCAGCACTGTGCTGCAGTTCATGTGCTCTGTTCTGTGTTTGCACATGCTTCAGGAACATTTTAAAATACTGCCATGTTAAGACTTTTCACCTTATTCTTATATTTAGAATAACAAAAAAGCTTGAAGAAAGGCGAGAAGAGAAAAGGAAAGAAGAAGAACAGGTAACACAAAAACATACAACCACTTGCAGGGTTTTTACACCCTTATTTGAATAAGTGTTTAATTCCTCTTTAAACAAATGCACTTCAGTCTTTTTTCTTACTCTTGTCCAAGGTGATTTTGTGGTCCAATCTTTCTGTCTCTCTATTCAGAAAGAAATTAAGAAAGAAATTGAAAGGAGGAAAACTGGTAAAGAAATGTTGGAGTACAAAAGGCGACAGGAGGAAGAACTGACGAAGCGAATGTTGGAGGAGAGGAACAGGGAGAAGGCAGAGGAGAAGGCAGCGAGGGAGCGCATAAGGCAGCAGATTGCCATGGTAAATGTTGCTTTTGGACAGAGAACTTGCTGCTTCTCCTTCTCACAAGGACCCCAGTGTAGTAAAATGATAGATTTTCTCATTTGATGAAGCTTTGGATGATAATTTTTCTGTTTGGAATCTTGAGGCCCTTTGTAATTGTAACGATTTCTGTGCTTGGGTTTATGAAGCATTTCCTGTGTATAAAATGAAACTTCTGTTTTCATACTCGTGATGATCTTTTCTGTCTGAACAAACACACTGAGTTTTCTGTCGTATTGCTCAAGCCTAGTGGAGAGTTATCATTTAAACATAAACACAATTGCAGTTTCAGCATGGTGCTGAACAGGAGCACTTAACTGTAGAACATGCTCAAGAACACTGGTCTCAGAATAGTGGGGAAGACTGTTTTTCCAAGTTTGTATCTGTGTGTGTGCATAATATGGATATAAACAGTTCATAACAACTGAAACTCTCCTCATTATCAGGTTTTGCTGTAGAACACTGAGAACTGTAATCATGTAACTTGTCATAAGGTTTTTGCCTTTATCTTTTCTGGAGTGTTCAGCTTGCATGGGAAGATCATCTGTTAACAACTGGTTGTGGGAAGTGACTCAGTGAGAAGTGTGTCATCCTAGCTAATGACAGGAGACTGTGCAGTTTGGGAGGGAATAATTCCTTGCAGCACTGCTGCCTTTTCTCCATATGTTCTGCTTGTGTCTGTGCAGTTGGGGCCGAGCATAGGTTGCAGCTCTTTGCTTTAAGCAGCAATTTATGGTAGAAATCAAGGTTTGCCTTTGACCCTCTCCCAGGACCGTGCTGAGAGAGCAGCTCGCTTTGCCAAATCGAAGGAAGAAGCAGAGGCTGCAAAAGCTGCAGCTCTTCAGGCCAAACAGGCTGAAATAGA